GGGGATACGGGGTGGTGGTGGCTGGGGTCACATGGGACGCTGAGGCACCCGGAGGCAGGAGTTGGAGGGGAAGAGGCTGAGGAGAAAATGCGGAGGGTGAGGGGGCTGTGGCAGGGGCCGGCGCAGGGTGGGGGGACCAGCTGAGGGAGGGAGGGGGGCAGCTGAGGGGGACCCGTGGGCCAGGGTCTAATGGCACTGCCCCCCCAGGGGATGGCGTCTATCAGAAGGGGATGGATTTCATCCTGGAGAAGCTCAACCGCGGGGACTGGGTGCACATCTTCCCTGAGGGTAACTCTGGGCAGGGGCCGTGGGGGAGGAGCTGGGCACAGCCCCTTTGGGCTTGCTCATTTTGGGGGAGAACAGCGTGGGGGGCGAGGGGTAGGACTGTGCTGCACGGGGGGAGAGGGGGGGGCACTGCAGAATAGCCGGCCCAGCCAGTCATGGGGGGGTGGAGGAGCCCTGATTGGGGCCCAAGCACGGTTGGTGGGGGGGCCGTCAGGGGGTCTCCTTGTGTCCCCCAACCCACCTCTCTCTTCTCACTCCCAGGCAAGGTGAACATGAGCCAGGAATTCATGCGCTTCAAGTGGGGTGAGTGCATGAGGGGAAGTGGGCTGGGGAAGGGGGAGGGTTGCGCTTTCTAACTCCTCCTCGCTCTGCCCCCCAGGGATCGGGCGACTCCTGGCCGAGTGCCGGCAGCACCCCGTCATCCTGCCCCTCTGGCACGTTGGTGAGGCTTTGCTGGGCCCCCCAAATCTCCTGTCAGCCAAGGGGAAGGGGGGCTGCTAGCAGGGGGGATATGGTGGGTGGGGCTGGAGAGCATGGTGCAGTGGGGTCATTATCTGGGGGCGGTGGTTAGCTGGGAGCGTGGGGCTGGGGAGTATGGGGCTGAGAGGGCGGTGGCTGGTTGGGGGAGGGGGGCATGGGGAGCGTGGGGCTGGGGGGGGTTAGCTGGGGGAGGGAGGCATGGGGAGCGTGGGCCGGGTTAGGTGGATAACCTGCAGGGGGAGTGAGGGGGATTGGAGTCCCCCCCCCCACATCTCTAACATTCTCCCCCCCAGGTCTGAACGATGTGCTGCCCAACACCCCCCCGTATGTGCCGCGTGTCGGTCAGGTGGGTATTGGGCTGCCTGCTGGGGGTGTGTGGAGTGGAGCCCTTTCCCCTCCCGCTGCACTGGGTAGGCCCTATGTAAACATCAGCTGGCGGGGCGGGGTGTCGGAGGTTGGGAGCTCCCTGCCATGGGTCGGGAGGCAGGGGGGTGGCTCTTCACGTTGGGGGGAGGGTTCGGGGGGAGGGGGCAGGGGCAGCAGCAGGGTCCCCACTCACCCTGGTGTGTCCCCCCAGCGGATCACTGTTCTCATCGGGAAACCATTCAGCGTCCGGCCCGTGCTGGAGCGTCTCCAGGCTGAGAACAAGTCAGCGGTGAGCTGGGGGTCATGGGGGGGCCCTGTGTTTGTGTGGGGTGCAGGGAGTGACCCATGGGGAGGGGGATAGTGACCAGCTGGGGGAGACCTGGTGAGTCTGGGGGGCAGTGTCTTGGGTGTGGGGGCGTGTGGGGGTGTGGGACAGTGTGTCTGGGGGGGGAAGTCTGGCGGGCGGGGTGGGGGGGTGTCTGGGGGTGTGGGTGTGTCTGGGAGCCCTGACCCCCCCGTTCCTCCCCAGGTGGAGATGCGCAAGGCGCTGACGGATTTCATCCAGGGCGAGATCCAGGTGCTGAAGGGCCAGGCCGAGCGGCTGCATCAGACGTTCCAGTGGCAGAGATAGCCCGGGGCGGGTGTGGCTGGCCTCCCTGCCCCACAGCTCCACCCCACTCACCGGCCTCCCTGCCCCACAGCTGTGCTCCACATGCACGCCGGACCCTCCCCTCTTCCCCACATGCTGGCAGGCTGGCACCTCCTTGCCCGACACATCTGCCCCACACGCCAGCCGGCTGGCCCATTTCCCCCCCCCCGTCCCACTCACCGGCAGGCCGGTCCCTCCCAATCTGACACCTCTGCCCCACATGCTGGCTCCTCTCCTCTGCCTCACATGCCAGCCAGCTGGCCCATTCCCTGGCCCACTCGCTGGCTGACTGGCCCATCCCCGCCCCCCGTGATAGGAGATTGTCCCATTGCTGGGGCTGCCCCTCACCTGCTATGGGGCAGGGTCTGGCTGAGCAGCCCACATGTAGGGACCTCCTGGAAGCCATTGGAGCCTCCTGTCCCCCTGGACTCTTCCTGTGGCCCCCCTGGACCGTACTGGTGAAAGCTTTACAAAGGGGGGGCAGCCCCTGAGGGGCTGCTGGCCACACCCCATCCAAGCTGTGGGGGCCCCGCTGGGTCAGGCTGGATTGGAAGGGGTGTTTCCTCCTGGGGGGGGAATACCCCCCCCCAACATGCAGGGGGGTCAAAGTGGGCTGCTGGCTCAACTCCCCTAAATCATGCAGAAAGACAATGACTTGCATGAGTCAGGATGGGGGCCCCACCAGCATCTCCCTGCGGTCCCTGGCACCCAGCCCTCCCCCCCATTTTTTTTACACTGGACTTTTTCAATAAAGGATTTTAACCCTGATGTCGGAGTGGAGACTGTCCCAGGGCTGGGGGGTGGCAGAGGGGGCTGCGGTAATGGGGGGCTGAGGGTGGGGGAGCTTGGTGTCTGGCTTAAGGGGGGAGGGATCTGGGCCAGGACAGGGGCTGCCCTCCTGCCCCTTCCCTCAGCCAGCGCCCAGGCTGGAGGCAAGACCTGGCTCTGGTGGGCACCGGCTTAGCCAGCTGGTCCAGCAGCCGTGGTGGCAGCCGCCCCGGCGCTTGGCAGGCCTGCTTCAGCCGAGGCAGGGACGGGGCGCTGGTGGTGGGGGGCCGTGGGGGCGGGAGGAGAAGCCGGCAGAGCTGGTGGGCACCGTGCTGGCCGGAACGTGGCTGGGGACTGCGAGCTGGCTCCGGCCCCCTGTGTTTGTAGCACCCCGTGGCTGTGACTCGGTTTCCCCACCCGCCGGGTGTGCAGGGGTTCAAGTCTCCCTGCGATGGGTGGTTGGGGCCTGACCCCCAGGTAACCCTGGGGGCTGAGCTGCTGGGTCCTTCCGCTGTGGGGCCCTGGGGGGAGCAGCCCCCCAACATCCCCTCTCCTGGGGGGCAGCCCCCCAACATCCCCTCTCCTGGGGCGTAACGGGGCGCTGCTATTGGCTGGCTCTCCGCTTCCCCGCGCTGTGATTGGTCGCCGTTGGCGCGGCCCGCGCTGTGATTGGCGGGGTGGGGCGGCCATTGCTGTGATAGGCGCAGCGGGGCAGGGCAGCCCGCGCTGTGATTGGCAGGAGGGGTCAAGGGGCGGGGCGGCGGCAGTGGCCAAGGCCCGGTGGCGGACGCGGGTGGGGACAGTGCCCAAGATGGCGGCGGCGCAGCTGGTGCTCGCGGGGCTGGTGCTGGGGGCGGCGCGCGCCGAGCGGGTCCCGCTGCTGGGCTGGTCCGGCCGACGAGGTGGGGGCGGGG